AAAAACCCAATTACTGCCTCAGTCATATCTCAAGGAAAAGGTATACCTTTACACCTTAGTAGGTGGTTGCACCTCTAATTTTTTTTTTTCAATTTAACATGCTCCCAGCAGATCTGCTGTGCAGATCTAGGCTCATGTTGCCAGTCTCAGACATTTTCATTTTCCTGTCTGAGCTCATCTAGCTTTGAACTGTTGGTCTCCTCCTCACTAGTGCTTGAGACCTCATCTTATTTCCTATTATCTGCAGATTTTCTTGGTGTGGTATTTATATCCCTTCCATTCTTTTAAAAGGTATTTAAGTGCCAGTAGTAACAGGAATTCTGGACTCCAGAAGAACACCTGGTTCTGTTTGTCCAGTCAGTTGCTATCTCATGCAATCACATCTTCACTTGAGCCATTATATGTACCAAGCTCCCTCTTTCAGAAGTTGTATATCTTGCTCTTCTGGGACTGCGGTTCTTTGATGTATAGAAAGCTTCTGCCAATTTCCAGCCTAAATCTATTCCTGGACAACTAATACCAATTTGTTTGCAAACTTATATTATCTTTTAAGTTCTTTCTTTGCTGTTACTTACATCTTATCCCCTAATATTTAGGGAGGACTATACCCTTATTGACTTGCATTTTGCTAATTGAAACATCTTTCTAGTTTCTAGTTTGAAAAGTTTTTCTGCTTTCCTGTAAACACTCCTACAGCAATATCTTTAGACTGAAAATGCCTTTCTCCTCAAAGACTGAGTAAATACTAATTTTCTTCTGGGTTTGAGTTCCTTCACTGACAGTGTACTGAAACAAGACTTAATACAATGCACTTATCAAAGTTATGAGGGAAAAAACTTGGTAAATTAAGGCTTTATTTAGGAATAAAAAAGATCTGTTTAAAGCATCCAGAAAAGAGCAAAAACATCCTTTAATTTAATAATATGAAGTGTGTGATTTTTTTCACTCATATTAGGAATAGCTTATTCAATTTTAGCCATCAAATAAAAAGTAATCTACACATATACTCATTTCATAATGGAAGATAAACATTTATTACTCTCTGTTTTTTCTTTTAATTTACTTAGCTCCTGTGCTCTCTGCATTATCTTGGAAAACTATTTTTTAGACATCTGGGAAACTTTAAAGAAATAATTTATACTGTCAGCGTTGAAAAGAACCTTCTTAATCTTTTCTGTGCTGCAACTTAGAAGTAATAAAGATTCTGAAGCTAGGGCAGGGAAAGGGAGAGAAAGCTGCTGATCCCACGAGCAACACTCTTTTGGCTGCCTATTTCCAGATTCAAACCACTAATCTCTTTCAGTCAGGAGAAGATGCAGTAACAGCAGAAACAGCAATTGCACATGGAACAGACCTGGCACATGTTCTAGAAAGAGAGCAGTATTTAAGATTCAGAACACTTCAGAGATTTGAAAAGGTTTGGCAAAGCAAATTTGTAGAATTTAAATGTAACAGAAGAGATTTCCTTAAGGAAGTCAAGGTTATATATCTAAAAAAATGGTATCTTTCAAAGGATTAAGAGTCTGCTTTTTCTCCTTTGAAAGAAATATTCAGGTTCTCATTGGTACAAATCTGCAGAAAGACTTTTTTTGTTAGACCCCAATCTTTCATCCTTCTTCCAGTACCTTGCATTCTTAGTCCCTGGCATAAGCAAACTAGTCTCTTAGAAAGAAAACTTCATCCTCCTCCTACAGAATCACAGAATGGCAGGGGTTGGAAGGGACCTCAGGAGATCATCCAGTCCAACCCTCCTGCTAAAGCAGCTTCACTTAGAGCAGGTTGCACAGGACATTATCCAGGCAGGCCTTGAATATCTCCAGAGAAGGAGACTCCACCACCCCCCTGGGCAGCCTGTTCCAGTGCTCTGTCACCCTCTTCTTCCCTACTTCTTTTATTCTGAAGTTGGGCTTAATACCACAGGAACTTCTTAGATTTCAGTACCTCGGTAGAGAGCTGATCTGAATTGAGGAAGAACCTCAAAGGGAAACTTAAGCATCTTGTAGTAATTGTTAGGCAAGTTAGCCTTTCTATAGCAAACCATCATGTACTGGTTGTCTAAACACAGAAATAAAATTCTTGAGTCAAGTGTCATATTAAGAAAGGTTTTAAGATAAATGTCCAGCTAATTCTGAGGTCTGTGAAACCAGCGTCTGAGTTTCTTAAATTTGTTTTAAAAGGTTTTTGTTACATGTTACCTGAAGCCTATTAGAGACAGTACATTATTTGTATCCAGTATTGGAGGCTTCTTGTTAGTTCAAAAATAATTATTTTGCCTGTAATGGTTACCTCATTTAATTCTTGAAGGTTTGTAAAAAACAGGGCTTTAAAAGCATAAACATCCCCAGACTCCTTGCATAACCCCAAGTCAAGAGTTTAACCCATTCCTTTCTAAGCGTAACGTGGAAAACTGAAGCCTGCACAGCCAATTTCATCTACCATGGAGTCCCATATACCTACATTTCTTACGTATATGGAAAAGGCAAACTTTGCCTTACTGCACTCGTTTTTTGTAAGTTTGGGGGAGTTGTTGTATTGCTGACTCCCCCTTTTTTTGGAGGGGGGTGATATTTCAGAATTAATGTTTGTTAATGTAAAATATTAAAAATTAATTTATTTGGACCTAACCATTAATTTTGAGCTCTTCTTTCTCAAATAATTTCTCAATTCTTTTAACATAAAAATATATCATACTCTTGACAGGAAAGGATTTTCCTGTACTGGATAATCATTGGTTTATACTGCTTGTACCTTTTCCATCCTTGCACTTGCATTTCTCTAATCCCTTTGGTTTCTTCATTTATGTACCTCTTCTGCAATTGCTTATTTTCTGCTACCACCACCTCATTTCATATTCTACTTTATCCCCTAAATTCACCTTCATGATTGTTATAACTAGAATTTCTTGTGAACAGTTTCAGTGTTCTCCATTTTTATTATGGAAGCATTTTTGGCATGTTTTTCTATCCATCCTTGTTCTTACTTACTGTGATTTGCAGCTTAGAATCTCCATTAATGGCTTTCTTGGGTACTACTCCCTTGACATAGAGGAATTGTGGGAAGAGGCACCAAACGTGTGCTTTGCCTGAAAGAGTCTTTGCTGTATGGTAATTTTGACAAGTTAAGATAGGTGAGTCCCCAAGACACGGCAATGTCAGAACTACTTTCTAACAGCTTCACTGCTGGCTCTACTGTGGAGGCTGCAGGGCACTGCTGAATAATGAGTTGAGCTAAAAAGTTTGTGCTGTTTGATATTCTGTTCTGCAAAAATACAGGTTGTGTCCTTTTTTGATGGGGGAGAGAAGATGTGAGGAACTGCAGAAGATGAACTAATGAAAAGACAGCCCAGAAGTTCCTGGAACTGATGATTGTATGAAACAGACAAGCACCGTGTCAGATCCCTTACTCATGGTACTCCTCAGAGTGACCTGCAGCTACAGCTTGCTTTGTTGTTGCCAACTACAAAAGCACTGAGTAAATACAGATTTCAATATGCATTGATTATCTCAGCTCTTTGATCTCTACTTAAAGATCAAGCCTGTAAGGTTAGTCGGTCTCTTCCAAGTTCAGTGTTAGACACTGCAGTCTTTCCTAGCTATGATTACCTTGTTGCAATTCCTCGCTATGATTCTTCACTATCATTTGTTGCTGGAAGAAAAAAAGAGACAAAACCCTTCAGTTGTAGAGCTGTGTAACAATACTTTATCACTTGGAATCTATTTTTGTTTTAGTTCTACCTCTTGGGTACCTATGTCTAACACTTTCATTTGTCCCTCATTTATGCTCCCTTGCAGACTGCAAAAAGAACCAACATAAACCATTGAAGAAAGCTCAGAATGCAACAAAATAAGTATCAGACTAACCTGCAAAAATACTGAGGAAAAACTCCTGGAAACACAAGCTGACACTACTGACTGCCATAATATAAAAAAAATGTAAACTTAATGAGCGATGGTGTAATAGTCATACAAATGTTGATGGTAAAACATAAAACTAATACTAAATTGCTAAACAATCAGTGATGTACACATCACTTTTCTCATGCTGCAGACTGATGCTAGTACCAACTAAAATACTTCAGAAGTTTAAAAGATCATGAGGATAGCAAGTATGTTTGTATTGAAAAAATTACTCCAAATATCATGAAAACTACTAAGCATGGAAGTGTAACTTCAGCGAAGTCTAGGAGAAAAAGATTATTGCATTGCAGTTCAACTGCCTTGCCAATCTGATATTTATTCAAATTAAGTTAAAATGTATTACATAAACTTACTTGATTGTGCTGAAAATAACTTTCCATTACTCTAGGTACATAAAAAAAGTCCATATACTCTACATCATGCAAGAGAATAAAGGGTTTTCCATGGTGTCCCACGTGCTGCAGAGAAAGTTGAAGCTGCAATTTTTGTGCCGTGAATGTGTATTTCCTTTAGCTATTTGTAATCCAATAGCTTAATTCCCCTTTCATTCAGTGATTCCAGCCTTTAGTGCATTTTATAGCAGCTGGTAGGTAGATTGCAGATGTGCACATTTTTCTTCTGCTATCTGGGAAAAAAAGACTGAAGGAAACACCAGGTATCTGCTTTTGTCTCCTGATGCCTATTGATAGAGGTTGATTTGCATTTCAGAGCTTATTGTAAATTATATGGGGGTTGTTGACTCTTCATTATTCTATATCTATTTGGCATGCCCCTGCCTTCATTTCTTTTCTTCATCCCACACCATATGCTACTCACATGCATTATTTTTCTCTGTCTTTCTGAAAAAAAGGCATTTCATTCTGTAACTGAGGTAGGTTAACAGGGAATGACTGTCCTTGTTTGTACTGGCATCACTTTCATATTGTAAGATCTTTGGTGCTTGCTGAGTAGCAGGCATACAATCAATACCTTGGGCCTGTACAACAGCAGCAGTTACGTCAGGCATTGCCCTTGAAAGTGTGATTCATGAAAACTGAAGCTCGTAACAATTGATAGCGGTGAAGAAATAGCTGAGTTTGAACATCTCTTCTTTTTCTGGAACCCGAGTAGGCATTTTGGTTCAAGCTGAGACTCATGTGAAACAATAACATCTGTTACAATACATCAGACTCACTAAAATTATGGCTAAATCAAATAAGAAAACCCGTAATATTCATTTTTATATAACTTCTAAAGATTAGCAAATATTAACTTGGCAGAGAACTGTTTATTGTAGCAGATATATCAGTTCATATCCCTGAAAACTTGAGCACTTCTGTGGCAAAAACTATTGACTTCAATGTACATCTTTGTAAATAAAAATGGAATATTTCCTGAAAAACAAGCTGACACATGATATTCTCTCTCTTATGTATGAATTGAGACAATAGAGATATTTAAATTGTTCAAATTAGAAAATCATTTTTCCAACATGAAAATTATGTATGCTAGTAAGAAGTGGCAAAACACGAACACTGAAATTCATGCCTTAGACTCTTGTACAAAATACCACTGTAACTACCATAAATAGCTTCTGTAATGCTACATGGAAGGTAATTGCACTGTCATTTAGATAGGTAATACTTGATTTCAACATTTAGAACTAGAATCTAAAAAGGCTATTTGAAACCACACAGAAGTATAAGGAGCACTACTAAAATATATACCAGTTGCTTTTCTGAACTTTAAGCCTCTATCTATTCTCTATCTTGTCATTAAATATGGTTTGATGGATAATTTATACTTATGCACAGAGATATACTAACTCTAATAAGGGTTCTTAATAAACTCTTCAGCCATTCTGGTATAGAAAGCTCAGTAAAATTTCCTTTCAGTTCTTTGTCTTCAGATGAAGCTTTCAAAAATCAAGAAACAAGTAAGGTACAAAATCCCATTCCCCAGAGCTGGCATCATAGGATCATCAGGACATCATGGGAAGATCACAGGAGAATTGCATACGAGTTCTGAATTCCCCTAACTCCAATAACCCTTCCAGTCTCATTAAGTAAGGAATGTTTTAGGGGAAAAAAAATCACAATGAATTGTGTCTTATGCTGTGGCTTGATTAAATATTTCCTTTGGCAACAGTACTGCCTTAAGTAGCCCACAACTACCCTGTTGCTCTCTAGAGAATGACTGGCTCAAAGAATTAACCCAGTGAAAAATAAGCTCTAACAGACACAACAACACTAAGGAGACTAGAGCTAACAGGGTGGCAGAATCTGTTAAATTAGTACTTACAAAAGAAATGTTCCTCATACTATGCACAGGTAACAGCTAATTAAGGAGTCCAGCCTCTCTTCAGTTATACTATCCAAGCCCTTCCCAGAAATCACGATCTAAGACATGAAAAAATAGATTGGACCAAAGCCAGTATGAAAAATGGCAGATGCACAGACTTTTGCCATCCTCTACTGAGAGACCTACATAGAAGGTTACAGATTATTTCTCTTTGGTCTGGGGCTTCCATGAGTATTTTGATCTTTAATGTTCCCTAGCACAGCATCTACAGCACTAACTGCCCAATAACAAGGGTACTGGTCTGAGACATAAAAGTCTGAAAGACAGAATTAGGTATCTGACTTTTAGGCCAAATGTGGTAACCAAATACCATAAAACATTTTGTACTGACTCAATGCTTTAACCCACTGTAGAAAACATAAGCAATGGATATTATTGTTAAGCTTAGGTGTTGCTCTTCCTCACATTTTGACTCTCATGAGACTTACAGTGCAGCTGTATGCCAGGCTGCTCAGGTGGAAGCAGTTCTGTGTCTAAGTAAAAAACCACCAAAACCGCAGGCATGAAGGGCATTTTCAAGAAGCTGTAAACCTAGGCACTTCGAGGTTTAGGCATTTCTGGGGTAGGATTATACACCTAAAACCTGCTCAACTCAAAAGTATCAGCCTGTCTTGAACCCGTACCCTACTACGGTACAAGATAGGAACTGGGTATTTCAGAAAACAGTTACAAACTTCGACATGTTTAACATTGCTCCCGACAGCAAGTGGTAAATTTTGTTACCAACTTCAACATGATTGATAGCTTACATTCCACAAGAGGTTGGTTTGTTTGTTCGTTTTTTAATGTTTCAGTGGGAGTTTTATTAGAATGAATGGAGGCTTCATGATTCTTGTCAATTGTCTGTCTTTAAATTTCATGTTTCAGTTCATGTAGGCATTAATCACCATGTACTGTATTAAGACAGTTCTCAGAACTTTGTAAACAATCTTGCTGGACAGTCATCTAGTGTTAGGAAGTGGCACTTTATACCTATGTCAAAGATGAAACAGCCATAACTGTAAAGGAACAAAACCTAACCAGAAAAATTAATAGCTTTCATTTGTTTTCAGCTTGCTCACAGTGATTCTGCCAAAAGAATGTGTAATTGTGTTTCACAGTCTACGACAAGATCAATTTTAGAAGACAATTTTGAAGGAGCAATCTCTTTTAGCTTCTCATTGCCCATTCTTTTCCTTCTTTGGACCTGAACGCTATTTCATATTTGCACTTACTGATTAATTTATGTAAGCAGAAAATGTTATGCAAAACATAAATTTATTTAAAGGATAACATAATAGAAAAATCTCACTTGAATTTCCAATTTTGATTTAACCATTCTGACATTAAACATATTTAAGTCCACATCTTTCTACACAAAGATGTGCAAAACGAAGTTCACCATATCCTAGCGTAAAGAATTCCAAACACAACTAATCACAACTGACCTGAGAATAAGAGTGAAGAACTAGTTAAACTAACATGGTTTACTACTAATAAACTTGAAGTAGAAGAGCAGATTTTTTCCCCAAATGGTCCATTTAATAATTTGAAGCACTGATATTTGCAAATAGATTTCTTAAAAATATATATATCTCATTTTAAAACAACAGCATTGCAAAGCATAAATAAATGTGATTTGAAAGGAAAATCATCTTCTCTGCAGAAGTAAACGCAAAAATAGGCCAGGACCTCAGTCACTACTAGAACTGTCTGAACTATCAGAAGATGAACTTTTTTCCTTTCGCCTCTTCTTTTTCTCCTTTTTATGATGTTTTCCTTTCTTAGATTTATTCTTCTTTTCCTTTTCCCTTTCTTTTTTGTGAGATTTTTGTTTTTTTGACTTTGGCCCATCCTCTTCAGCTGCACTTGATGAGGAAGACCTAGTAAAAAAAAAAAAATAAAGAAATTGATATGCAATTAAAGAAGGAAAATGCCACCAGAATAATGTGGGTTTTTTAATTTCAGTATTTTTATAATGTCACAAAGCTAATTTGGGGTAGAATTCATACAGTAGCATCCACTGGAAAGCTTAGGATATCTCAGTCTGCACATTCACCTGAACGACTACTTTTCTAATTCGATTATTGTGCCAGAAAAGCAGTATGTTTATAATACAGATTAATTAACAATGGAATAGGCAAGTTGTGTGTTTTTCAACCTTCAATAAGAAAAAGACTAAGAGTACAGACCAACAGAAAACTGAAAGTATGACAGTAAGACAGAGCTTCCAGCTTTTAAAATATCATATGATCAGTAACAATGTTACAGTAATGCCTTCAGACAAATCTTAAATGTATTTCTTTCATGCAAAAATCTAAGAGAAACAGGTATGACAAATTTTGATGCTCTGACAGCTGGTAATATTGGTCTCTAACCAGCAGGGATGAGTGATTACAAACATACAAGAATTAAGATTACAATAAAATAAAAATGATTATTATTATACTCAAGAAGGCAGTTTTGTGCTACTGTTCACATGATTAACTATTAACTCTTTGCACATAAAGACTACAGCCAGCAGACGACCCTTTTCTACTGTCTTCATAAGTGTAAGTTAGAGCTACACTATGTAAATAAGGAAGGGGAAAAATGCCAATGCAACCACTGTTAAATCCTGTTTCTTTATTTCTGAAAACCATCTTATTGTGTCCTCCAAATACATTATACATTTCCTAGCTCTCAGTGCAGTTCCTGGCATATCAGCAGTCCAAGCGACTAACCAGTCTATAGTCTCATCTAAAAAAAATCAGTCAGCAGGCCAAAAATCTGATTCACAATAAATTTGGGTATTTTGACATTTTCCTTTGAAACTGGGGCAACGCTTTTTTTAGGCTTCCTCAATAACAGGAACATTAAAACTTAACACATGCTAAGGAAAATGACAGACGTTTTCCTTTTGATAGTTACATGTTATGCAGAGCATGTTTGTGTGTCTACACATGCATGTGTGCACGCAGGGAACCTAAGGGTCTCTGAAATGCAGAGAAGCTTCTCCACGTGAGCCAAGTTGGGGACCAACCCCACAGTCCTCCTGACTCCTTGTTGTTTTCCCACCACATCTTGCCCAGTATTGAGTAGTCAGAGGGAGCATTGCTTTCTCAGACATGCAGTCCTCCAGCTTGCTATAGCTTTCTAGACTCCTATGGTCCTAACTCCACAGCAGAAAGCCTCTGGCTCTACTATTACTCAAAAAGCAAACAAGTTCTCACTGGAAAACAGGAAGCTTTTCAAACCAGAGATGTACTTGTAAATAAAGTTGCATCAAAAGAAGTAATGTTTTCTGAGAAACAACCCAAACATCAGAAATGCTTTTAAAGTTCTGTTTTGAAATTAAAATAGGTGTGCGATAGTTACCTTTTCCTTGATCTCTTTAATTTTGTTTTTTCTTTGCTTTTTCGTTTTTGTTTCTTTTTTTCTTCCTCCTCATTTAAATCTGTGGATAAAAATTTACAGTTTACAAAACACTTATCTGAATTAAGATCAGCATTAAAAGAGTGGCTTCAATAGAAATGTAAAGTTACTATGAAATCTTACTAGAAGTTTTTCTTTTCTTTCCTCCAAATTCAGGTCTGGTATGGCAACTGCAAAAATATTTTGGAGAGTAGCAGAACTTTTTATACAACTTACACTCTAATGACTTCAATCTAATGCCTTTGCTCTAAGAATGAAGGAAGGCCCATAAAAAGTAGCAAAAAGTTGTGACTTTTCCTACATGTTTCCTACAAGTTTTCCTATCTATTCTTCTGTATTTTAAAAGACTTGCCCAAATCTGAAAACAGGTCATTTAACTAGAACGCCCAAAAAAAAAAAAAAAAAAAAAATTCCCTAACCTGAACTACTTTCACACATCCTCGTTTCACACTTTACTAATAGCTATGCCATAACTAAGATAAATTTGAGTTAACTGTCCATAAAACGTCAAAAAAAAAAAAAAAAAAAAAAATTCCCTAACCTGAACTACTTTCACACATCCTCGTTTCACACTTTACTAATAGCTATGCCATAACTAAGATAAATTTGAGTTAACTGTCCATATACTGTCTACAAACATTGGCAGAAGAGTCACCCCTCACCTGGTCATGTTTGTTTCCTACCCTAACACAACAGTATTATATAGTATCTTCACATTTCACTTACAAGCAATATTTTTATCACACTGGATGAAATTTCTGACCTTAGACTTTTCTCTACTAGGTCAAAAAGTAGAATTCTCTGAAATGCAAATCTATTACATAAATAAACAGCTAACAGGAAAATACTGGTTTTACAATTTATCCTTAAAACAGATAGCTAATTTTGAGCATTTCATCTTACTTCTATTCATACAGGTAACATTCCAAAACATCTGCATGCTAGTGCAGTTATTCATTTGCTACCACAAATAGAAATTACTGATCTATATGTTCTGGAGCAAAACTTGAAAGAATTCAATAAGAGTTATAAAAATCAAATTACTTTTGGAGCAATTAGAACCCATGAGCATGAATGTTGTAACAAGTACTCCATTTTTTTTTTAAGAAAATGGTGCAAAAATCTAAGTGCAAACAGTGCAAAAATCTTGAGAAGATGAGGCCACTTCAAAATGGCAAAATCCTGCCCAGATAACTGACAGTTAACATACATATCTCCTTACAGTACACATAGCAGCCACAGTTTAAGAAAGAACATATAATAAACGGAGATATTACAAGATCAAGCAAACAGCTGTTTTTCCTGCAGATACCCATCTTCAATCAGTTTAGGGCCAAAAAATCCCCTTACGTTCAAAAGTACATAATAAGTAGGAACAAGTTTTGCCAGAGGCTTGTTTCAAGGAAGGACTGTTGCAGTACCAATTCAGCGCTCCTGGCAAGCAGGCTATCCAGTTCTTTTGAAGTGTTCCAGCAAATTACAGGGTTCTATCTATCCCTTCTCCTTCCTAAATAGCATTTTTAGTAGGAACTGAATGTGAGAATGTGACTGGAATATGAGAGCAACAGAACAAAACATGTTGCAAGGGTGTCCTGGTTTTGGCTGGGACAGAGTTAATTTTCTTCCTAGTAGCTGGCGTAGCGCTGTGTTTCAGATTTAGTATGAGAAGAATGTTGATAACAGACTGATGTTTTGGCAGGGGGGCAGGGACCACTGCTCAGGTATTGGCTAGGCATGGGTCACAGTCTGCTGAACAACTGCATTGTGCATCACTTGTTTTGTATATTATTTTATAATTTTTATAATTATTTTCCCTTCCTTCTCTGTCCTGTTAAACTATATTTAACTCAACCCACAAATTTCACCTTTTTTTCCAAATTCCCTCCCCCATTGCACAGGGGAGCAGGGGGAGTGAGCAAACGGCTGTGTGGTGTTCAGCTACCTGATGGGTTAAACCACTACAAGGAGGCAGAGAGGACAAACGTTAATTCATTTAAACATGCTATGGTAGAACAACCTCCCCTTCTTACTTGGGGTAACAGCCTCACTGGAGTCCAAATTCAAATGAAGAACTCTAGTATCTGCTAAATAACCCATCTATTCTCTCTCTGAAAAACAGTTGATGCTCAGGCCTTCCAAACAGAGAACAGTACTTCTCCAAATATGAATGTTGAAATTCAATTCACTAGCTGTTTCAGTCAAAACACTACTTAGAGACCAGAGAGAAATTAAGCTGTCATACTTGTCATTCGTTTTAAGAGTTACTATCGACTTTCAGATGTTTAAACTACATGCCATAATCAAAAGATTAACTCAGAACACCCATGTCATTCTTTCCTAAGCAGCTTCTTAGTAACAATCTTTTAATCTTTTGTATTTAGGAGCCCTTTCTGAGATGTTCCAAATGGGTACATTGTTAATTTCCTATGACAGGGTGCGGGTGCATCAAATCTCTAAAGTCTGAACACATGAAGTAAAAGACCTACTTTTAAAGTACAGGCTAAAAGAACTGATAGCAGTTATCAAAAAGGATAAAATGAGAGTTCCAGTACTTCACAAGACCATTATGCAACATACTCTTTACGAGAAAAAAAAAAAACAAAAAATCTTACTCTTTCTTTCACGCATGGCTTGCAATCTCTGCAGTTCTTCTTCCTCACTGTCTTCACTGCTAGTGCTGCTAACATCTAAAACAATATCTCTTTGAGGATCTACTCGGAGGAAGTTTCGACATTCAAATGTCAGATGACCAGCTGAACAAAACAAATATTCAGGAAGAAAAATTACAATTTACCAAGGAATATCAGAAGCTAAAGAACATCCATTTTAATATTATTGTTTTGAGAAATAAAAAAAGGCTAGGCTGCAATCTGTGAACAAGGAGGGAGAAGGCTTACTTTGAAAAAGCCTCAAAGAATTTTGATAGGTTGTGCAATGTTATTCCATTTAATAGTGCATTATGGCCTCTCTTTATTTCAATCAATTTAAAGATTTTGTCCAACCTTTACTTTCCATTTTTTTTCAATGGTCTCAGATCCTTCCTGAAGAAATTACCTAAAAGCGTGAAGTGAAATATTTAAAAAACTACAGCAAGTGTGTTATATTGCTCTTTTTGTCTCCCTCTAGTTAAATAGAAGTATCCTGTTCACTTATGAGACATAATCTTTAACAACGAGTACGTAATATTGACTAAGCTACTACCCAACTAGTATTTTTAGGTTTTTAAGTTACATTTCAATAATCAGGACCAGCGTTAGAAACCTTGTGCTGAATACACCTATTGGAATAACAAAGAGAAATAAACCAAATTGAAGATATGGTTTAGGAGAAGTTAAGCTAAAGACACAGGAATTCAAGTAGCAGTTGAAATAAACTCATCTTTTTCAGATCAAAATACCTACATCTTGAACACACAGCTTTTAGGAACATACATACAGGTTGCGTGATTTGACTACAAGTTTCCTTCTCTTCCAGAAAGCTTCTGCTACTTACTGTACATAGAAATGAAGTGCTAAATCTATATTTATGTCCACGTTCCTTTGGAAGAACAGATACACAAAGCAATTCATTGACAAAATTTGTTGGAGACAGGTCTACAGTGGAAGAACAAAGGAAACTTTTTTCCCCTTGATCCCACATAACACTCACAAAAAGGATTAAATCACTCTGTTAAAAGTCCAACACAATTCACTGCAAAACAGTGTCCACCCCTCAATTGTTCTAAAAATATGAGTTAGTGATCAACAAATTAAAATCTTCATTAAGACCTGTCTCTACTCATCAGGAAAGTAACCTGATTACATGTAAGACATGCTTACATAATGCAAAGCATGAGCTAAACGCTAACAACAGAATTTGTAAGTAACAAAATCAACCGTTTCTTGAAACACAGAACTGTTTCTTGAAACACAGAATGCACAAAGAATTATGTTTTCTTAGCATAGAAGATCATACAGATTTTAAATTATTTTTTCTTTTAAAAGAGATTGGACTTAACTGGAGCTGAAATGCCTGCCTGAGTTTTCAGTGAGACTCAGAAGCAGCACAAATGCTAATCTCAGTAGATATAAAAGACCATGCTTTCAATTCAAAATTTCTCAAATAATTGCACTGCAAATGTCGTATATACGAATACAATAGCATACTTTTTTTTTTTTTCATGAGAAACTCAAGGTTTTTCAAAGGCAGCAATAGGTGTGAGGAGCCAGAGAACGAACAGGAAATAAGTAAATTTTACAAATTATGGTAAATTAAGCTGACAAATGTCTGGGCAACGAGGAAGAACACTTCTTTCTTATTTTTTCCCCCTCCTCAAAAGGCAGTTCTAAATCTTAAATTGAAGAAACCACTGTAACTTCATATTGCTTACTACAGACTTACGGTAGCCGCACTTCTTGCATCCTGCTCTGATGTTATCCTTATTTCCACCTGAAAGAGAAAATTTTATCAATTATGTGTTGATAAACAGAAGTCTCAAGTTTCTTCTGTATCTGGCTGGATAATGTCAATGCATGGACAGGATCGATCACTCCTCAGAGCATTAAGTACACTACGATGATTTTAAAAAACTTAAAGAAAAGCAAAACAGTGCATTTCTAAGGTTACTTTTCTGTGCAGTAATCTATCAGAACAAATTTGGCTAGTATAAACTGCTATGGATCATTTAGTTTCACATAACTTATTGCCAAATCCTCATTTGATTTATTATGACCTTTCCATTATAATCTTAACAATTATTCCACTTCTCTGAAAGCTTATGCATTTGTTTAGTTACAGTATTAACACAGTAATAGCTATGTGACGTTCCAGTGATCCGTAACTGTACACTACAAGTGTACTTATAAATTCTAGCAGTGCATGGATGTTAACGTTCACTGGAAACACTGAAGTAATCTAGATTTTAACTAAAAGAACTGTCTTTAAAAGGCAATTTAGAAGGCGGAGGGAAAAAAAAAAAAAAAAAGAGAGATAAACAATCACTCCTGAAAAGTGACAAAAGACAGATAGAAGCAATTAAAGAAAAAAAAAAGCTAAACAAATTGATAAATGATTCTGAATCCAGGCAACATGGTGCCAAATACAAAGAATTAATGGATAAAAGAAAGCAAATATGGAGTAAAGGGAAGGTAACAACAGAAAAGTCTGTAGATGCAAGAAGGAGGACCAGAACAGTGCAAATGTTACGAACAGGAAGTGTATGATTTTCCCATCTCAGCCCACAGGTAAGTTAAATAGACATAGTAGGACATGTCTCAGAAGAAGAGAAACCCCAGAGACCCACAACCCAAAAAGAGATCAGTCTTATTTTTAATTGTCTCAGCCTATTTGTAATGAAAGTCACAACTGAATTTCCAAAATCAAAGGCTGCCCTTCTATCTTCCAACTGAACAGAGTATGAAAAAAACAGCGACTTAAACAGTTATATATTTTTCTGAATAACCAGGTCATTTATTTAAATAAATAATTAAGGAATGTAACAAGAAATCTATGACAGAAATTAGAGAACCAGAAAGGGGGTACAGAGGCTCCATGAATTTAAACTTTGATTTATTAAGACAAACATTGTCTTTAGGAAATTCTACTCAAAATAACAGAGAAACCTTCAAACCCCACGTTGAAAAACTAACTTGGAAACTTGGACAACTCACTGGTCTATGCCCTGAAGAGTACTGGAAAGCTATGCAATAGATACATACATTCCATTATGACACACGGTTTTGTGCAGATGCCAAAAACTTAGTATTACATAACCCCTTCGATGTCTATAAACTCAACAGTGCTTAGGTGCCTGTTCTATGACTATCTTTTGAGGGAAACCCATGAGAGATAAGGAGATAGGGAACATGGAAGAAAGCATCAAGAAGCAAGGAACAAAAGTGTACCTGTATCTTGCAATGTTATGTCAAAGAAATACTCAAAACAGCATCTGCTTGTTCACTACACCTTGTGACTAGAAAGCAAGATTGCCCAAGCTACCTGCTTTGTCTCAGCTTTCTGAAATACTCAGTAAACTTCAGCCCTACTGTGTAACTGACCTGTAGGTAAAGAAAGCTTTGGTATAACATGCAAGGGAGGTCAGTGCAGTCACGGACACACTACAAAATCTCCTGTAATACATGCAGGTGCCATTTGTCAGGATTTCCCATAGAAACACCCAGTAGATTACATGAATATTGTCACCAAATATGCCGATCAAATTCCTGAGACTGAATTTTTTTTTTTTTTGGCTTTAAATAACAGCATTAGAAGCAGGGTTTTAGACTAGATGAAGTTTTAGATGATTAAAAGCAAACAAATTACGAGACAATTACTTTTCTCACTCCCTTCTTTCCAGGTGTTAACCCTCAAGAAAATTATCAACCAACATGGCAGCAATCATCACTAAGAACCTCACTCATTCAATGGAGCACAAGGCTGCAAAAAAAGCTTTGGAACGCAAATATGAGTTGTCTTTCTCAAGAATCCCTTCTAGGATGGGAGCAAGCTTATTAAGGTCTTCTGTTTCCTTAAGAGACGACGCTTACCAAAGCTCAGGCTTGTTCAGCTGTTCTCCAACTAAACACTTCTCATGTCTCAGGATCAAGAGAAAATTACAAAGCAACGGCTCTATGTTTGGCTAACATAGATCTAAATACCTTGCAAACAGTGCAAGCGTTTCTGCCTGTCCTGTCTCACCATCACTCTCAACAGGTCTGTTAAAACAATAATCTAGTGGGACACAAACGTTTATCCAGAACAAAAGACGAGTAGGAAAACCAAGTCCGACAACAACCACTCTTTGGATCTAACTTTAAAGGTGGCTTACACTATCGGACGATAGAATGCAGCTCATCCAAAACGTTGCGGGAGAAGCCCCCGTAGGCCTAAAGGAAGCGACTGCATGGCTGCGCTCATCCAGCGGCCGGCCCGACACCGCCTCCGGCCATCTCTCTCTCTTCCCCCCCCCGCTCCTTTCCTCTGTT